TGGGTCCATAAGTCGGATCCTGAGGCAGCAAACGAGCGATGGTCTGACGGACCTCCTCTCCAAAGGAGTGAGTAGAGGAGATCAACGCAAAAGAGTCAGGCCTACGAGAGAGGGTGTCTGCTACTTTGTTGTAGCAGCCCTTCTAATGCTTCAGTTCAAAGTCAAACAGATCAATGAACTGGATGTAGCGTGTCGGTCTATCATTCAACTCTCCTTGGGTCTTCAACCACTGCAGGATGGAATGATCAGAAAAGATCTTGAAGTGTCTGCCCAGGAGAAAGTGCTTCCAATGTTTCAGGGCACTGACCAGAGCATAAAGCTCTTTCTCGTAGGTAGAGTCCCTGAAGCCTCTGAGTTTTGATCTTCTTACTCATAAACTCTACAGGTCTCAGACCATTACCATCATCCTGCTGAAGGACTGCCCCAATGCCATACTGACTGGCGTCAGTGGTGAGAACAAATGGCAGAGTGGGGTCAGGCAACTTCAGAACAGGTGCACGAGTCAAGGTCTGTTTGAGTCATGCAAAGGCCATTTGACAGTGGAGGGACCAAAGAAAGGGAGTGTCTTTCTTCGTGAGGTTAGTCAGGGGTGCAGCCACAGCAGAAAAGTTCCTGACGAACTTTCTGTAGTAGGAGGCCAGACCCAAGAATGACCGGACATCTCTCACTGTTTGAGGCTGTGGCCAATCCTGAATAGCAGCAACCTTGGCTGCTTCAGGGGCCAAACCATCTCCAGAGATTACATGACCCAGGTAGATAACAGAGGGAACTCCAAAAGAGGATTTCTCCCTGTTGATCTTGTACTGGCTGTCACGTAACGACTGAAGGACTAGAGCCAGGTGCTCCACATATTCCCTGGTAGTTTTGCTGAATACCAGGATATCATCCAGGTAGACAACCATAAACTTATCAAGGTACGGCCTGAATATGTGGTGCATCTCAGTCTGGAATGTACCAGGTGCATTGCAGAGTCCAAATGGCATCACCAGGTACTCATAAGTACCATACCTGGTTTTGAAGGCCGTCTTGTGGACGTCCTCCTCTGCCATCTCAATCTGGTGGTAGCCAGATTTGAGGTCGACTTTGCTGAAGATGGTGCAGCCCTGGACCATATCCAGAAGGTCGTCGATCCTAGGAAGTGGCTTTGTGCTCTTCCTAGTGATCTCGTTGAGACCCCTGTAGTCGATGCACATTCTGAATTCCCCACTCCCCTTTGGGACAAAGAGGACTGGAGCACCGAATTCAGAAGTGTTGGGCCTGATCCAGCTTTTGCTGGTCAGGGTCTCAAGCTGTCGCCTGAGCTCCTCGAGCTCAGCAGGTGACATCCTGTAGATGCGGCCCTTGGGAGGGACCGCTCCAGGCAGCAGCTCAATACGATGCTTGGTTGGCCGGTTGGGTAACCCAAAGGGCTCCTGCATCAGATCAGCATACTGGTCCACAACCTGCTGTATCTCAGGAGGACAGGGAGTAGAGGGAGCGTCTGTCTGCTTGACCAGGGGGATGAACAGACGCTCACGATCATACTAGCGAGAGAGAGTATAGAACTCTCTCGCTCTCAGGCAGAAGCAAGATGTCTGAGGGTGGTAATCAGCTGCAAGCATACAAGGCTGATATACCCCCTAGCTGTTTGGCAGTTCAACCTTGGGGATCTGCCAGTCGATCCTTGGGTTGACTGCTCTCAGCCACTGCATAGAGAACACAAGGTCAAAGGGGAGGTCAGGGAAAATGTAGAAGTTCAGACTATGTCTGACTTCTCTAGCACTGTCGAAGGTAACAGGGATGCCCCTGACCTTCTCCCTAATGGTCAGAACAGTGGAGTCCCCGATGCGGACCTGCAGCGGTTGCTGCAGCTGCACCACTTTCATGCCCAGATGCAGTTTTTGGACTGCACTGGGAGACATGAAGTTGCGAGTGGCTCCACAGTCTAATAGCCCTTTGATCCTGCGATGGTTGATCAGGGGCCGAAGCAGGATGAGATCAGACTTGTTCTGCTTTTGTTCTTTCAAATGAAAGAAAAAAGCAGCAAGAGCATGACACTCAGACTGATCTGGTTCCTGATCCGGGTCAGGATCCTCATAGGTAAAGGATGCTGCCCGCGCAGCTCCCACACTGGATGGGAAGGAAGAAGTCTCAACTGAAGCTGCTGCAGCTGCAAATGCAGTTGCAGCACTGGAGGGAACTGCTGTCTCTAGGTTCAACTTCAATTTTTTGACTGAGTTGGGCTTGGCATGTAGGGATAGTCCTTCAGGAAGTGTTGTCCCTCACACCTCAAGCAAACACCTCTCTCCTTCCTCTTCCTCCACACTCCCTCCTGGATCTTCAGATCATGCCATGGGAGAGTGTTGGGGTTCAGAGGGTCTGCTGGGACGTGGACGTCACGTGGCAAATTAGGGCCCCGGGCAGGGGTTGAAGCGCGACGTCCTTGGCTCTTCCCTTTGCTGCTGGAGGCTGTGCTGGAGGCAGATCCGGCCTTTTGGAAGGCCCCCAGCGCAGCTTGCAGCTGCTGGACCACTGCTGCAACATCTGGAACAGCAGCTGAAACAGTCCCAGCTGGCGGTGTACCAGGCTGGGAACCTGTGTCAGAGGCTGACCCTGACCCCGCATATGCAAAGGCCGCCTTTCCCTTTCTACCACCGCGAGGGAAGGCGCCTCTCCAGTGCTGCACGTCCAAATGATCTCCAGTCTTTGTGACCGGCGCTGAAAACGCAACACATAACTTTTCAGGCACAGCCCTGCAAAAGTTAGTCAACAGATCATCTGCAGACATCACCAAACCAGGGGTGGAAGTCAGCTGTTCAAATTCAGCAAACAGGGCCTGCAGACTGCCGCTGTAACGCTGCTGGCCCAGGCGTACTATCTTATCAGCAGCTTTGCGGACTCTTTCTTTGTGTGCAAACCGATCTTCCAGGGCCTGCAAAAGTTTGTCAGCCCCCAGTGCCAAGGCCCAGTCCTCCAAAGTCTGATTCTGGGCACTTGCTGTAGAGGTAGCCCATTTCTGGGCAGGCCCCTCCAGCAGACCCACAACAGTGGCCACCTTTTGCTGCTCCGGGCACTGGAACCCCTTCAGATAGGCCCGGGTTCCAGCTGTCCAGTCCCCCACATCAATCTTGGGGTCATCCCCCTTGAATTTGTTGGGGGCCGGAATCTTGGGACCTCTGTGGTCCCCAGCAACAACAGCAGCAAAGGTGGGATGAGGTGTGGCTTTGGCCTGGGAGGAGACAGAGGGAGAAGATCTGTGCGAAGAATGAGGAGACTTAGGAGGTGGAGAAGGAGGTGGAGAAAGGGACTGAGAAGGCTTTTGGGGCTTCAGAGAGGGGACCACAGTGACCAGGGGACTGATGACATTGGCTGCTGTTAACTGAGCAGTCAGATTCTGGATAGCATCCAGGATCTTTGACTGCTGRGTTCCCAGATCCGCCACTCTGGTCTCCAKCCTCTGGATCCTCTCATCCCAGTTTGTAAAGTGGTCGGCGGTCAGCTTGTCCTGCAGGAGGACCAGCTCAGCCAGGTCCCTTGTACACTGGGCCACTCTAGTATCTRCAACAGTCCTCTGGGCCTGCTGCAGCAGATGTTCTTTTCAGGAAGCATCTGTTGCAGCTTCTAGTTCAGCAGCCTCCTGTCTCTCGGCTTCTGCGAGCAGCGCCTGTTGCTCTCGCAGCTTTTCCTGGATCTCTCTCTTGCGCCGCTGCGCAGGGGTCAGAGGAGGGGGAGGTGGTGTTGTGGCTGAGGGTTCCCCTTCAGCCTTAATCACGACCTCCACCTTCCCTGCACCTGTGTCAGCTGCGTCAGACATTTTCCCTCACAGACAACAATAAGACAAAAATGAAACAGCAGGGGGTGCAGCGATTTACAGATCACACAGACACTCAAATTTCGCTGCACTGTCAGTTCACAGAGCAATGTGGGTTAGTGGGCACAAGCAATTAGGGTTGGAACAGGACCACTGGGGTCAGTAATCAGGTTGACAGGGTGTCCAATAAAACCATTCACTAACGATTTCCTATACCTGACACTGAACTTTTACTGAAGTTGCAACATGCAGTTTCACAACATTCCTGGGGCCACTAGTATCCCAGAGCAGAGTAGATTAGTAGTATTGATAAGGGTAGGCAAGAATTGACTGAAACACAACAACAGGTAGTAGCGATTTAGTAGCCTACTCCCTGACAGCCCCAAACTCAAATTTCGCCAGTGTTGACATCAACAGAAATTACCCCAGATATGGCGAATTTCAGGAATGCACTGTAATGACCCAAATACAGTGTTTYTGGACTAGCGCTYTAGCAGGGTTGCTAAAAATARAATTGCGATTCACCCCAGACTGACAGACTTGAATTCTGACGGTCAGATTTTGAGTTGTGACTGACCCTAGGTAGCCTAGACTATAAATAGACTCAGCGCAAAACTCAAATCCACAGTATCACTGTCTTTTCAGTACAGAATTCACAGAATGAGCATACAGGATGCAGCGCAAAACTGTAAAGCAGTCCCAGAACAATTTGGAGTCAGAACAGGTCAGTAGATGAAGAGATATGAGTCAGGGTAGGGAGGAAGAAGATGGATATGGCTGTCCTGCAGTTTGACAATTTCACGATTGTTGCAGTACTGACAGACAGACCATCAATCCTATTTTCACTAATTCTATACTAATCGCTACTCAGGGACTCATGTGGAACGAACTCACTTGAAGTACAATCCTCAGTGGGTGATGAAGCTTTGGCTATGGCTGCCAAACCCTGGTCTC